TCGGTCTTCCTCGTAGGCGTCTCTTGTCAATGACTAAGTCAAGCCAATCGGAGTTGCCCGAGGGTCTTGGAGCCTCAACATCTCCTGGCGCCCACGTGGTCCAGGTCGGGTAGAAGCTTTGTGGTTCGCCTGGTGGAACTCCGACAGTGGCAGCAGACCCTGTGCCAAGAGGGGCAGCCGCCATGTGACACCAAGAGGAGCTTGAACTGGAGGCCGAGGACGAAGAGGTCGGCAAACATGTCGAAGACGACGTACAGGGCGCGGGGGAAGAGGACGCAGATCCCGGTGTGCTCGCATGGACATCACGTAGTGGAGGCCAGTCCCATTCCGGTAGAGCACGTGGAGCATCATCCCCAGCATCGTCTGCAGTCTCCTCATGTTCTTGGACGGGTCCGAGGTCAACTGGTGGTGCCAGCGTTTGTTCCTGCGAGCCCTCAGCACCTTCCCTAAGTGAGCTCGATCTCGCCATCTCAAACTCTTCCCGTTGCAGGCCGATACAAAGATCCTCATCCCAGGCGTTGGACATGTAGGCAATCACCCTGGGGTCCGATCGCAGCAGTGGCCTTGAAGACGACGAGGAGGAAGTAGCATGGATGTCACCCCGTGCGCCAACCATCGCAGTTCTCACATCACCCTGCTGGTCAAGTGGAGGCCTGGTAGGAGGTAAAGAGGAGGAGTTGCCCAAGTCATCCCAAGCACTGGCCACGACGAACGGAGCGCCACCAACTTGTGCGTCGCCTTGCTGTGAAAGAGGCTGGGTGGACAGCGGAGTGGGTTGGGTGGAGGAAGCAGGTAGAGCGTCACCCTGGGCAGCAGGAAGAGAGGGCTCGTCCAGTTCATCATACCATGCACTATACTCCGGCGTCTGCGAAGAGGAGGCAGGCATGCGTGATTCCCATAGATGGCCCGGGTACTCGTCATCTTCCTCCACATTGCCGGCCGGTTCCACCACAAGGCCCAGGTACATCACGAGGAGGAGCGGGAAGATGGGCAGCCCTTGGCGCAGAGCCATTGTAAGCACGAAAGGTGAAGGTGCGGGAGGGAAGTCCAAAATTCACCTGGAGCCAAGGTCAACGATCACACCCATGAGTTGTAACGACACGTGTAC